CTCTCTCTCTCTCTCTCTCTCTCTCTCTCTCTCTCTCTCTCTCTCTCTCTCTCTCTCTCTCACACACACACACACACACACACATTGACCCCCCCAGGGGGTTGACACTGAGCTTTAATGTTTGTCCCCCACACAAGGTCTTGTGCAACTGACAGGTTAAATAACTTCCCAGGTGAGCTGCGGCCTTTTAAACAACAGAACCGACAGAGACTAACTGATGATAATGTTTTTTTAGTCATAATAGTGGTTTTAGAGGGATCACATTTATTTCTGAAATGTGTCCATGGTTCTGAGACTCAGAGGTGATGATTAGAGCTGTCTGAATGTGAATTATAACTCATTTTAGGGCTCTGTGAGGCTAAATGGGTTGAAGAGTTACTTAGAGGAAGATGAACTGATATGAAGACAATTATTTGGGAGCAAAAACTAACCAACAGAATTTTCTTGGAAAAAAAAAACCCCGCAAGCGCAATCATCCACAGCAGTAGTTCATTTTTAGTGTGAGAATAATCGAGAGGCCCTTATTTTAGGGACCTAGTAGTGGAGTAATCTGCTTAGTAGATTTGAAGACAAAGGCCAAATTAGTGAGCTTGCTGCTTGAATGCACAATCCTAATACCCTGTTCAGAATTTAGCCCAGATGAAGAGGGCATTTGCACTCGATGAGCTTCTCCATTCACCTAATGGACACTGACCCTGAGTGGACCTCATCTGTTGACACACTTTAGGGCAGGTTTATTATATTTCCTCTGAAATGAAATCGGGAACTAGTTGGTCTGGACACTAGTGTTAAAGGCTGTAGGGTTGAACTTAAAACATTCCTCACAGGATTGCGCTAATTTTTCTCACCCTACCCACCGTGTAGTGTAGAATCAGAATGTTTGTCACCAATTTCTTGTGTAACTGAAATGGAAAATTGAAAATCTCCATAGAATGAAAAGGAGAAGTTAAACTTCATGCAAGTATCACATTGATTCTCTGAATAATTGATGTTTCTTATTAACTTTAAAAGAATCAACATTGACTTCATCACTACATACTAGGTAAGGTGACACTAAGCCAAACGAGAAGCTAGTGTGAATATTTCATGAAGTTCATGATACACTTTCACAGTTTCTGTGGTGACCACTCTGTTTCCAGACTGTCTGTCTGAATTTCCTATTCTATTCTGGCCATCAAAGATTTCCCCCTCTTTGTGTTTGGCCTTTTTAGGGTGTTTGAAAGCAGTTTTAAAAAGGGTTTATTTATTGGGTGAATCTAACAATGTATTTCACACATTTTCTTTTATTGTTTTCCAATCATACCAAAATGGTTAGCTTCAGAGAGTTTGCATTGCAGTTCATTTGAGATTAACTATTTTTGTGTGCAAACACTGTACAGATAACTGATTATTTTTGTTTCTTGTTATTGCCGATATTCAATTTTTGTAAATGCTTTGACATGAAATGTAGAGCGAGCCAGCGTTTGGCCTGTAGATGTTACTTTGTAATGTGCTCATCCACTGAGTCAGTGTGTGCGGCCAGTGGAAATGGAGGATGTAAATACTGTAAGAAATACTGTGAAGCTTACTTTACACTACAGTGATCCTTCACATCTCTGTAGGAGTTGCAAGAATTATTTAACAGTTATTATTTAACAGTAAATATTTCCATAAAAATGAATAAAATGAGGAAAAACCTGTCTACTTGTGGTTTCTGTGGTCTCAGAATGTCTTTGGAATTCATAAAACAGCCAATATGGGACTTTTCTTTTGTTGAGACTCCAGTTCCCTCCTGTGTTTGTGTCTGTCTGCCAGCTGACCCTGTTCCATGGCCCTGGCAGGAGGAAGAAAGGCGGAGCTTGTGTTGGAGGACATCCTGCCAAAAGCACACACACACAAGCTGACAAACACCATGGTGATGACTTCCATGATGGTAGACAACAGAAGTCTTTTGATGCCATTTACATCAGTGCCAGTAGAATTATCAAAACGCATTTCACTACCAAACCACCAGTGGGAGCTACTGTGTGTTGAGTGACACTTGTATACCTTTCAGAATCTGCAGCAGATTAATATTAAGAAAGTAATCTCAAAGGTTTTACAGGGACAATTTCAGATTATCATCATACTTAAAAAAATATTCATTTAAAGTCAGTGAAAAGCTATTTTGTGTTATTTTTCTTTTAGCTTTTTACCATGATCAATGGGATCATGCATGAACGTGCTTTTCTCTGTCTTCAGTTTTTTTTTCATCTGAGAGATTTGCAACAGCACATTCATGTATTTCTGTGCACCAATCAGGATCTTTGCAGTTGATAGTCGTGGGTTGTTTCAGGTGATGTCAGTCAAATCCCCACACTCATAATTACACTCTTCACTTCGATGGTTATTAGTCAATTATCTACAATCAGAACTGCTTAATTACAATTGAAGAACTCATGATTTATTATTTTTATGACTGACTGGCTTTTTCTTATCGCTCATTCTAAATTGGGAATACCACGACCATTAAAGTCATACTAACAAATAACTGCAAACCAGTTGACATGTTACTGATTGATTAATTCTATGCTTAAAGTGTGGCATTCTAAGTAATTATTAATGGATTGGCAACATTTATAACTGCATTTTACTAAAAGGAAACATGGCCATGCAATTACTACATCACACAATCCCATGAACCAAGTGTTAAGCTGATCACACTTACTCCTGCCAGTTATAGTCGACATGTCACCGCAGTGTTAGTGTTAAAATATCTGCTTCTCAAAGTGTCCTGGTTGGCTTTTGGTTAACTGACATGTGGCAAGGAAAAAAATCTGGTATGGAACAAGGTGTCCTAATATGTGAATGTTGAGCTGAGGTGGTGTATAACCCAGGGAACGTCCTCTGTGAGAGCTGAAATATAGAGCAAAGTAATTACTGAACCAACCAGGGCCTGTAGGGAGAGTTTCCCACAACCCTGAAACTTGTGCATTTAAAAAAACAAAACACAATTTACACAACCAATTTATTGTCTTTCAAGAAAAAAAACACACAACTCTGAAAACATAGAGAAATGTACACCTTTAAATTACACAAGCTCTTATAAACAAAATAGTCTCTTTTTATATGTACATCAGCAGGGGTAACAGCCGGAGACTCCTCATGGTGTCTCCACCAAAATAAGATAAACACTTTCCTCTGATATCCATCTCTGTACACAAAAGCCAGCATCCTTACTCTACACAGCCCTGACGTCTGGAATTTCTTTCCCTGCTTTTTTTGATTTGTCAACCTTGTGTTGAGTTTTTGTTATATTGTCCCACTGGTCAACACGTTTATTGAGTGATGAGAACAAAGACACCAACACTACCCATGTGGCCAGAAGTGTTAGCCACAGGTTACCACAGGGTAATAGCAACATGCTTTTAGCTGATCATGCTGACGAGGAGGTTGTAGCACGTTTTGTTATGGTTGTATTTACTTGACGCAGCCTCGTGTTGAGCTGCTGATAAGTAATTGTGGAATGCACAAAAAAACCTCAGTACCTCCTTCATTTAGACTGGGAGGACACCACGCAGCTCTTTTGGTCTTACATATTGTTTGAACTGCACCAGAATCCTAATTAAGCTTCTGTAGTCTCAGATTACTCAGCATTTCTCATCTTCTGAGTTATTCTGTCAATTTTGGAATTTATAGCCACTTAGCAGAAAGTAAACCGCAAGCATCAGGTAGCATGCTTGTTGGAACAAAAGCTGTCTTGTTCCCTAAGTTATTCAAAATGCAATCACCCTTAAGGTGGTTTTACTTGAAACTTCAGGGGAGTTTAAAGCACAGTTTGCAGCATGAGGCAAATCAACATGTCTAACCGCACAGCTAATGTATACAAAAATAACTTGTATAGGCTTCTACAAGAGAAGAATTTTTAATTTCCAAATCAACCAGTTTAGTGTGATTACATCCATCCACAAATCACACCTTACTTTCTAAGAACATGGTATATAGGCCTATTCTAAGTGCTTCAATAAATCTCAATGTACCTAAGCAAGTTAATTTTTGTCAAGTAGCAACACAGCCATGGGGCCTTGTGGATATTTTAGGTGTCTTGTTCTCATTATTTGACCAGTGGTGTGTCCCTTTTACTTTGGCCAGAGTTGTTGGAGTTGTCACAATAACCATTGTTTGTATTTTGTTTTAGTCTTTTTCCAAATCCATCACAAGAGAGCAAGGTTATACCAGCTGCTTCCTCTCCAGTGTGAAACAGGGACAGGGATGATCTGTCTTATCTGTAAGTTGTTTGTGGAACAAAGTGAAAGATGAAATGAGAAGACTGTTTGGCTACTGACTGATCTGTCACTGCAAAAATGTAATTTAGTTTCATATTCAGTCTTCAAGTCAGAAATGAATTCCAGTGGAGGTTCAGGAAATTCGAAAAAAAATGGAACAAGCCCCAACACACCAGCATCAAGAAAATGAACATCGTTTTTCAAGGGAAAAAAGCAATGAATATTTCTTGCAGTGGTGCGGGGGGCTGCATTTTAAAAGACATTTGAATACACAGATAAGAGGTGCTCAACACGACAATCAATAAACACTCAAAGAAGCAAACACAGAGGTATAAAAAACAGGTAGGCCTCGGGTCGACCCACCGTGCTATGAGAACTGATAGACACACAAATACAGCCTAATGCAGCACAGCTCAACAGTACAGTGTGATGTCGGGAGGGCGAGGAAGAGACGTTTGTCAATTTACAGCATATTTAGGGTTAAAAATGTTTTTATTGATATTGGATTGAAAACCTATAGGTGCACTGAGAGATCCCAGACCTAGAATATTTACTCTGGTGTACCTATGTTGAACGACCAATTTACCAGATACCTGCCCCCTTGTTTAGTTTTTTTTAGTGAGACTGATTAAAAGACACAAAAAGACTCTTACACTTTACGCTCAGAGATATAACAGCAAGCCTGAGATCATATTGATATTATAACTTGCCCAATTCCAATAATGTCTGCACACTGACAAACTGATCCAAGTGCAATTCATCTTCATTAGGTCTATTTTTTCCTTTAACATAGCAAAGGTCTACTTTGAGTGCAATGTTGTCCTATGTTGTGTTTTGGAACCAGTGTGCAGGTCTAACCTTTTTCCATTTACACAGCTTTTTAACCAGTATAGCACCTATGTGATGTTTTTATTATTAACTCTCTTCAAACCCAGACAAGGTGAGCCATGAGTACTCAGGGTTGGATTTAGCTGTAACCAACCGTTGCCAGCAGGGGACAGTACTGACACACTGAAAACATACAGCTTCATCACTTGTAGACATACTGCTCCAGCCAGAGAGCCTCAACTTGGCTGTTCCATCAGCTGTCCAACAGATTCTGTGGAACCTTTATGGTTTTTAATTTTACACTTTCCTCTGGTGAATCTAAGCCCTGGGGGTATTTTGTGTTTGACCAAGTCAACATGGTGATAAAAAATAAGCAAGGGATTAAACCATAAACGTTACATTAATGACATTAAAATCAAATTCTGTATTCTAATACAAAGCAGCTGATGAAATGATGCCTATGAAGGGAAATAAGTAAGATAAGAGTTTACAAGTTCATGTGTGTGTGTGTGTGTTTGTAGGGCCAGCTTTTGCTGGAGACTACGAATTGACAAGGGAGCATGTGTGACATTTCCCTACAGAGGAGCCATCCCTGTTTTCCATGGTTCATCCTCCATTTGTCCTCTCGGGCTGTCAACTAAGATCACCACCCCCTCCGCAGCGACCCTCGCAGCCCCTCCATCTTCCTTTTAATTTTTTCTTCAGGTCTCCCACCTTCAGTCTGTCAGGAGCACCAGTTCCCCCTCACTCCTTTCTCCCCTGTCACTTTCCTCTCCTTCGCTGTACAGAGGCTGCTCCCTCTTTCGTTCCCTCTCTCTCTCCCTGGGCAGGGAAGTGGGCGTGGCGTGGCCCTCCACTTGACGTGGGGCGGGCGGGACCTGTGGCAGGTAATGTTCCAGTAACGCGGGGTGAAAAGGCATGGTTGCCACGGAGACCGAGCCAGTGCTGCCAGCGTACTGTCCATCATTGTGGGAGTAGTGGATCTGCTGCGGCTCTGTTTGACTGAAAAGACATAGAGTTAGACTGTAACATGATGGTTGTCAAACATAAAATTATCTTACTTATAATGGAGCTGGTGAGGTTTGGGTGACCGTATTATTAAATATACATCAAATTAATATGAATGATAATGTTTTCGGATTGTTGGTTTTCAAAAGAAGTTGAGCCAAAATTGTAATTCTCATTTTTGTGCGAGGAAATATAGATTGCAAAGACTTTTTTGTTTTTGAAAAAAAAGAGAAAAACTATTTTGGTCAGAGCGCCTGAGATTCTGCGTGGATGTTTTCTATGGCCACAATCGAGTGGCGTGGTGCAGGGAGCGACAGTATTTCAAGGCCCCTCTGCTTCTGGACGTGCATTCATGTTAGGTGAAGCACCTCTGCTTATATAAATATCTGCTGGTGAAATCAAGTAGAAATATGAAAAAATGCACCTAGTTCTGTGATCAAAAAAGTCAAAGGAGGGAGAATTGGTACTGAACAATGTAAAGGAAAAGTTTAACTGCGATTACCAAGATTCACTACATGCAAAAAATGTCCAGTGAATTAGAAATTCTGTTCCATGCGCTGCTCGTGCAGAGTAAAAGCTACAGATTATGGTGCTGTTAAGTTGTCAACAGCTTAAATGAATTGTCTCCAGGGTTCTCAGTCCATTCTGGATGAATTCAGTAACTATGTTTTGATTTGTTTTGTAGTCAAATCCATTATTGTGATCGGACACCACAGCTGTAGCTGAAGGTCAGGGATATTATTTCCCAAATTATATTTAGAGCAATTCATCAAAATGACAACAGTTCTCAGACACTAAACTGATGATTATAATATCAATCTACATAAGTATTAATATTTGGGAGGGTCCTTTGTTTCTATTTTTGTCAACCGTGAAGACATCAAAAGGTTAAGTTCAACCAGTTAGCATTAGCTTGCTACTATTAACTTAGACTGTGTATAAGGATGGACAACGCCACTATCCAGAAATAAAGCCAAAATATCCCAGATACGAACATTACCTTCTTTAGCCAATAACGTCATTTGATCAGTTTGCAGTTGGTTTCAAGGTCTCAACAATCTAATGCTTGAACGTTTCAGTCTCAGCTGTCAATCATGACATTTCACCCAATTTTTATACAATAAATTAATACTAAACCTTCCAGAAACATGGATACTATGAACATGAACATGCGTATATCAGTGTGATAACAACAACAATGACACAATCTAAGGGGGTGATTTGGCTTTGGCTTCACTTTTGGGGAGCAGTCATGCCAACCATTTTTACATGCAGTCAATGGATAGCATTGCAAGTTATTCCTGGTGGTGGTGACGCTTTGTCCCACATTAAAGCAATAGGTTAGTCATGCTAATGATAGCACCCTTCCATGCGTTGAGTTGTGGTTAAAAATGACTGTGAACCAGTCCTCAACACTTTCCTATGTTTCACTCATGTACAAAGTCAAAGTACGCAACAGTGAAATTACACAGGACTCAGTAAAATCGAACAGGTGTGGATGCTTGTTTACTTGGTTAACTGTCTGTCTGGCTACTGAAACTGAAGTTAATATGACCTGTTTTACGTGTCCTCCCACACCAATATTGCAACAGTGATGTGCAAAATTGTTTGTTAATTTCTGTTAAGTGTCCTCAGTTTAAAAGCAACACAACACAAACTAGAAACCAGAACGACAAAAATAAAAAACATCTCTGTACCTCCTTTGGATTTCAATCAAGTAACAAAAATGTTTCTTTCTCAAAAGAGTCTCACAGAGAAAAGATGAGGTGAGTACATCTGTGATTCAAAGAAAAACATCAGTGATGCAGAAAACCACTAAAAACCAACCACTGTTAACAGTTCCAAACTCCAACTGCTGCAGCTTAACTGAGTTGAAGGATTTACCGGCAACAATGGCGACGGATGCTATTCATCCCCGAGGACAGAGTGAAAACAGCCGAGCTGCATCAGTACTCTACGTTTGTTTGTGTTTCAAGAATAAAGAAGAGCTCTGGGAGGTGTAGAGCAAACTCCTGTTAATTGAGTGAATTGTCAGTGTTTTCTTCCAGGGACAAATTCAGCCACATTATCTCAAGTTGTGTGCACACTCAGAGCGAACTGGCCTGTGTGTGTGTTTGGGTCTACTGGTTTCTACCTGTGTGTGTAGGTCGCTCTCTGTTCCTGCCGACGGCTTTTCATCATGGCCTTGTACTCCCCCACCCTCAGCCTCCGCCCCTCCACAATGCAGGTCCGTTTGGGCCGGGGTTTGTACTTGTAGTCTGGGTAGCGCTCCAGGTGCTGCCGGCTCAGCCTCGCCTGCTCTTCATAGTAAGGCTGCTTCTCTTGGTTGGACATGGACTTCCACCTGGAACCTACAGACAAAGATGTATTGGTACAAGGAGCATGAGGGAAAGAGTGAATGAACAGACGAGGAGAATTCATTCACACAGACGTGTACGATTCAACACAAGACACCAGTTAAGGCTTTTCTCATGTCATTTCTTGTCTGCGTCCAATAGAGGAAAAATGGATAACATAATTTTGCCTTTTGTCAAATTTTCTTTAAGTTAGAATTCAGTTAACATTAAGTCAAATTTAGGTCAAACTTTAAAAGTTGCCTTTAAAAAACCTTTAAAATGCAGTTATCTTTTGATTTGTATCAATCTCATACAAAATAAAGAAGATCAAGGGCAACACTTTTTACAAACTTACCTCAATATCACAATTAAAACTTACTTGACTCAAGTCCCTTTTAAAGTGAGACTAGCCTGTGTGACTTCTGCTGAATAAGCAGTTGCTCTGGCCACAAGTGGTAATTGCAAGATAATGAAACATCCCTAAATGTTCCAAAACTGTCTTGACGAGTCATTAAAATTAAGTGACTGTGGCCTGAACACGAGCAGTAAACAACAAATATGTCTCCAGAGGCCTTTCTCAGTGCAGAGTACAGTAGAACAAGAGGAAAAGAATATGCTCAGTTTGCAGCAGGAAGAGTCACTGCAAACTCCTCACTTTTATTTAATTTGTTTTCATCGACAGTTTCACTTTTTGTTGAGCAGTGGATGATAAATAACATCAATGTGACCATTACATTCTGCTAACCAACATGGTCAACCGAGTCTGAGACCTCATTTTATCTAATGATCCAGAGACATATGTGATCTGAGCCAACACTAGAGACCAACTTGTGATGGGATCACACCTGCAGCAATGCAGTCAACGTTCCAACAACTTTCCAATCCATGAGTACTCTATTAATCTATTAATGGTACTACTTGAGTACTCAGGGATCAGACCAGGACTATCGTTGACACACCTGTAACACATCTGTACACACTTTGTATTTTTTACAGTTTTGACACAATCACAATGAGAAATCTGTCCGCAGGCAGACAGGAATGCAGAGGAACAGGCAGAAAGACAAAAAGACAGACACGGAGTCAGACAGACAGACAAGGAAGCAGACAAACAGACGGACAGGGCAGCAGAGAAACAGGCAGATAGATAGGCAGGGAGGGAGGCAGACCCCAAAAGTGGTAGTTACTGCTGGAGTAAATGTTTCCAGGGCCACATTTTACCATGATACCAGGCCAAGTGCTTAGCATGAGACTGTTCCATTATGATTTCAGTTTTCCAAATGTAGGAGAAAACTGTTTGTCCTTTATAACAGATGTGGTATTACACTGAACATATTTGTTTTAATGATCACTACATTGTCATTAACATCACCCCATCACACCATACAGAAATAGGTGTGTGTGTGCATGCGTGTGTGTGTGTGTGTGTGTGTCGGTCGGAGCAGCAGGTGTATATTTGTGCCCTCACATGTGCCAGACAGTGTCTCAGAATAGAGACACAGAGTGAAACCCACCCCTACCCAGTGCAGGGCTCACCCAGGATCTTGCTGATGGAGGAGTTGTGCATGTCAGGGAAGGCCTGCAGGATCCTCCTGCGCTCGTCCTTGGCCCACACCATGAAGGCATTCATGGGTCTCTTAATGTGGCCTGAGGAGGGAGGGGGCCGGGCCTCAGCGTAGCTGCCTGGGACAGAAACGGACAGAGCACCTACAGGGGAGAGGGCTACAGTCAGAGGACCACACTAAACTGGAGCTGGAATATGTCATCAATTCTTTCTTAAATGTAATGTCTCCGTCACAGGGAGGGGTACACTACTTGTTATTAACCTTTGGGTGTGAATATTCTAATACTGGTTAGACTCATTAAAGGTAAAGTTTCTCTTCACATACAAACATCCTGTTGATCGGTTACAATTGTATGAGGCAAGAATAAGCTCAAGTTATGTGTTCTCATTTGTTCTTTGAAGATGTACACTGTAGCCTTTTGGATATTTAATATATATATATATATACATTAAATATCAGTCACACGGTTCCTATGACTAGTTAAAGTTTGTTATACAATATAGATGATTCTGTGGCTTAATACCTGCTTGTGACACGTGAGTTTTTTTCAACTTTACAATGGATTTAAAGTGGATTATTGAAAAACAACATTGTATGGACACATGTATGTCAAGACTACCAGCTAGCACACATGTTAGCACGAACAATGATTCACTTTGCTCACCTACATATTCCATCCTGATATTTGTACAAGAAACGTACAAAAATACTTTTGTATTTACATCCTTACATTATGTTTATTGATATATAAGAATCTGGGGATGATGGAAGTGAATTTAAGATACCTTACATGTCAGAGTGATATCTTGAGGAGGGAATAATAGTCAAGTTTATAATGGTATCCAGTGCACTGGCTTTGAAATAACACCACTAGTTATACTACCTATTACTTATTAGCATCAATGTGTTACTTCCTAACACTGAAGAGTACTAAATAGGCTCCTCCGGGGACACCTACCCTCAGAGTCACTGCTGAGGTGGTCCTCTGGGTTGGGCCGGCCATGTCTGTCGTCCCTCTGCTCAGGAGACTCTTTATACTCCTGTGGTCATAAAGAAGACAAAGACAGGTGAAGTCAGACACGCAGCACATGCACACAAATATTCACACTCGAGCACAAAGGGAATATTTGAATTTGGACCGCAGTAAAAGATGACCCAATGCCTGATGGGTGTGTTTGTGGCACACATGTGTTACATGGGTTGCTATTTAAGGTAACGTTCGCTTTATCAGCTGCTGTTTAAATGCAGAGCTGTAAATGCAAAGAAAGGGATTTATAACACCACGGAGGAGGAAGAATGATGTTTATTGTTTGAGGGAGGAAAGGTGAAGGAGACAAGGCAGAGATGGGAATGTAACAACTTCTGAATTTGCAAAGCTATCGCACCATCGCCATATTATCTATCATTTATTCTCCTGCTGTAAAACATTATTTATCCCACATGCGCTGGAGTGGAATACCAAAATAGGTCAGTCAACAGTACTGGTGTTAAAGCAGCAAAGGCCCGATGGAGCGGGATAATGGAGTGGAGGAGGAGAGCCACAGAGTACAGTATTATGGAGGACAAAGAGAAGAGGGCAGGTGGCTCAGTCAATGCCACACTGAGGCCTTTGTGGTATTGTGAGGCTGCAGCAGCTGTTGCTCCAGGATGAGGCAGGGACCGGAGCTTGAGCCACCTCAGAGCGTGAAAACCAAGACCAGAATAGATGACAATTTTTAAAACAACCAAAACAAAAAATAGAAAACAAGGATTGTTACAATTGGGTTCCAGATGAAATACATAATTTCAAGTAGTTTGAATAGATTGCACATGAATGACAAATCTAGATAGATGCACGATGAGACCTAAGATTTGTAAGAGCACAATTTCCATGTAATGTTACGTGGTTAAAACAACTTTATTTATTATTTTTTTAGTGTAGAAGATGAATAACAAAAAGTACAATAAGAGCAGCAAGTAAAATCTTTACTCAATAATACAGCCCTTTTCTTATTAATAATGGAATCAGCAGAGACATAACTTCTTTGTCTATTTTGTGCAGTGTTTACATATCTGCACCTTCCAGAGGGCAACACCTAAAATACTGTGTGTGGTTACTACAGCTGGGATAATCTCCTGTCAGTTAAATCCTCAAGAGGGGCAAGACTCCCTGTAACACTAAACCTGACTCTGACCCCTGATTAGACCTCCACATGTTAGTAAGTATGGACATACTGCAGCATTTAGCAGCTAAAGACCTGGATATCTTGCTCAGGAGTTGGCGGAGGCCAAAAACGGAGCTAAAACAGTGTGAATATTGAACTTACATTCATCAGGTTGAGTCCACATGAATGATAATCTTGCTCTGTTGCTCTGTCACTAATTCCAAACTGCTAACATGCTAGCCACATCAATGTAAAAGGTGATGTCAGTGTTCACAACATGATGCTATTGTCCCCAAATGGCCCAAAAAATGTGTCTACTATAAAAGAATTGCGTAGCTTCTTGGTTATAGAACCAGAACTCACTTTTCTCTCTCTCGCTCTCTCTCTCTAACTTTCTCTTCTCTCTCTCACAGACTCAGCTGACGTCTCTGACTCGCTAGAGTTTAATCATTTGTTTGAAATGAAGCCGAAATATCAACATCACATAATGATCGACACTTTACTTAAATTTGTTAAATCTTTCTTCAGAGAAGCGCGCACATTCATCAGCCCTTCTTGTTCACTAACATATGTGTAAATCCAGACTGGGTATGCTCGGTTTGGCTTGATGCAGTTGGCGCAGTGTACAGTGTGAATGATAGAGACATATAGAGGAGCAGTACATCACTGACATAGCTGCAAAAAAACTGTAAAAATTGTTATGTTCTAAATATGTATGAAAAGACTCATTAACACTGTAAGTGGACTTAGTGGAGCTGTGCATGGCTCCCTGCTTCCCTAGCCAAGTGGATTTTTCTTAATAAAACCATGTTGTTGAAATGGAAATAATGCTTTTCATGTTTTTCAATGTCTGCGTAGGCTAATCACTGTATGGGGTCTATGTTAGAAACCAAAGCAGAAATACTTGAGCATTGGTATATTTATCGCAAGACATATCATCTTTGCAACATTCAACAACGTTATCGCATGTCTTCCTGATATCGGGCAGTCCAAGTGTGTGTTTGTGTGTTAACTGGGGGAGGATCAACTCACCATCTTTTCCCCGCCGTCTCTCTCTCTGTCCCTGTCTCTCTCCCTTTCTCGCCCGCCGCTGCTGTTGCTCTTCAGGAGCAGCTGGGCATCGTGGATGGCCTGGGTGACCACATCGCCGTCTCCAAGGAAACCTGCAGACAAAAAGCACCAAGCGACCATGAAGTAAACAACTATGTGGAGCGTTTTGAGGAAAAAATGGCATTAGCCAGAGGAAGATAAATTGTCAGAGGCAGCTATGATGAAAATATACCGATGACAATGTGCTTTTCAAATATACAAAATCATTTTTTTATTCCCCAACAATAGCTTTGCAAGATTCACAGTTCTTACAAGAAAAAGTTCTTATTCATCTCAAACTGCCGGTTATATAGACCTCACATTGAGCCTCTACTGAAACAGGCAATATTTGCTCAGGCCTCCTTAAAAGTGAACTTTCTTCTGACTGGCCAAGTTAACCCAGCGTTTGACCACCTGTGTGAAGGTCCTGATAGCTGATAGTAAAACACAGAAAATGGTACGTGACAGAACATCATTGCACTTCTTTAATCCATCCATACGTTTGAGCCTGAATCAGATCCAGAATAGAAGCAGGAGGACGTCTCCATTGGGTAAATACTGTATGTCCATTACTTGCTTATAATGTGACATGATGGCACATTTTGTCTTTCATGTGTATATAAAGTACAGTATCTCAAGTACAGCTGTGATTGGTGCAGACGAGAGCCTAAAGGTATCTGTGTCAGTCTGTCGTGAAAGTAAAGAAGAACTAGCTATGTAGAGGGTCTGCCGCCTGAGCTTTTGTCTCACAGTTACTAGTTCTACATACATAAAGTAGCTTTACCACTCAGTTGTTCCTGCGTATGTAAAGGTCCAAAAAGCTTCATTTCCAGGGTGATAACCCAGAGATCCTGCTTTGAAGTTAACCACATGTTTGTTGCCAGGCGATCATTACTGTGGTGTGTCTGCTCAGATCACACATCATCTGTCAATCAAACACTGGGGGTGGTACTGTTCTGAAAGCTCTCCTAGCTCACTTGTCTATTAACTCTCTGGCAACTGGAGCCAACGCTGACTTCCCTTTTGTTCCTTTTGTTTATGGCAAAGCATATGCTTTAGAAATGTGGAATGCATTGCTTTTATTGCCCTGTATGACATGTTTTAAATGAAAGAGGTGGAAAACACCACCAAGCATAAAAGCTGTGGGTTGAATCAGTGAAGGTTTTACTCCTTTCATTTTAAGCTGCTATGTGCCGATTAAAACAAATATGCTACTAGATAGTGAAAGATTACGAATAATTCTAAAGACATTGTACACACAGTGACTTTAAAGGTATCTTGTTTTCTACATTATGTTTCCATCAACATTATGTCCCTGGAACCTTATTTCCTTCCTCCAAAATCTCCAAAGCCAATTTTTAAAAGAATTATAAATTGTTTGTTGGATTGTTTGCAAGCTCAGAATTCTTTTCTTCCCTGTCTTTATTGACCAGTTGCAAAATTTGTTGATGCTTTACCACCAACAATTGTGAATCAGTGGTATAATAAGATCAATACCAAGACTGAGGAGAAAACCAGAGTTTGTATTTGTTTGAAAAGACAACTCTCCTATTGATACACCCGGCGTCCACATTACTCCAAAGTTTTTTTTTACAATGATACAACTGTCTACATGTGTAGGAGACAAGATAATATTCAAGCAATTCCTGTAAACACACCCATGCCCAGTGCACGTGAGCGGTCATGTGATATGTATTTAGTGTCTTGTTGGTCTGGACGGGGATTAAAACTGAAGCAGAGCAAAAAAACATGTGTGGACAGAGATTTTTTTCATTTGAAAACACAGAAAACGTAGTATGGACATAGTCTGTTTATCACATAACCTGTGTGCAAATGGGGACATATTGTCAAAAGCATTGTTCCATAGTACTACTAGTAGTCACCAGCTCTTCAGAGTATCTTTAAGAACATGATCTGTAAGCACGAAGGTGGCCTCTTAAACCCTGTAATCATAACAAAGCCGAAAAAACAGAGAGTTTCTGACACCGCAACTTTGATTTGCACATCCTCAGAGAAGATGTGAGGATGTTTTTCTTTTCTGTCTCCTTCGTGACTATGCATTCCCATCACAATGGAACTCACTGAGGGCAGATCGTTGTGGACTGTGGGACATTTCTCTCTGGAGGTCCCTGAGTCTGTAAGCCCCCTGCAGTGCCAGCGATCCCAGCTCTAGGCTCTGTGGACTGGGCGTCTTCCCTAGCTCCATCCCCTTTGGCTTGGAGGTCAGGTTCAATGGTTGACTCGCCTCCTAAACACACAGTAAGAGCAGATGAATAAGGGTGGGGCCACTCACACACATTGAGGCTTAACTGTAAAGGGCGAGAGTGTGCACGTATTCCGGTTCTGCATGGTAGATTTGGCGTGTCGGAGCGCATCTGTCACACCTTTGTAGCGTTTCTGGTCTTTTGTCTTCATGCTCACCTCATCCTCTCTCCCCTTTGTGTTGGTCTTTCTCTGCTTGAGAACAAGTCATTCAAATACACTTCATCCTGCATACACATTACACACACACACACACACGGAGGAACCCATTCACACACACTTAAACTACAAACATTAACCCTCTGACAGAGGGTGTGGTGTATTCTAAAGGCTTTTCAGCTTCAAAATACCAAGAGGCTACATTATCTGTTTAATCGGGAGAGCTTTCCTTTATCTACACCACCTACACACAGATCGCAATACATACACTCATACATAAACAGTAAGTGAACACATAATCCACTGTTCCTGCTCCAGTGGTGAATGCATTACAAATACTGTTTGTGTTGAACTTAGGGCTTTAATTTGATGCAGTGAGATGAACATTTTCACAGTTGACATATAATTCATTGTAATTTTGTGATGACGTTGTACCTGTCGGAAAGAACCGCTGCTCCTCTTCACAGGGGTGGGGTGAGGGTTCGGTATCAGCTGCATAGGATAGTCCATGGCTGTGGAGAATGAGGATGACAAACAATGTCACTGGTTGAAGATCAAACTTAGAAACACAGATTTAAATGTGCTGAATATAACAAATTGCAAAATTATTCAGTTCAGTTTTATTTGTTTGGGCTGAATCATAATACACATTATCTCAAGGCACTTTAAATAGAAGGTCAAGACCTTAAAAATTACAGAGAAACCCAACAGTTGCCACAATGAGCAGCACTTTAACGACTCCCTCAATAACTGGAAGAAACCTCTAGAACCAGACTCAATGTGGGCGGCCATCTGCCTTGACTGGTTGGGGTGAGCAGAGAAAAAGGGAGGGGGACCAGGAATAGTTATGCACCATCAGGTTTCAGCTCTGACAGTTATAATGAAACAATAAGAGTGTAAAGATGTTATTAATGATAGCAACAAGTCTAATAAATATGATTTAAACCAGCCTAGTGATGATCTATGGTGTCAGGTGTCAGGATGACTTTAAAAATTCAGCTCACTACTTTATTTCTGGCAGTTTTTAGCTTTGTCTATTTCAAATAGCAACAGTGACTATTAAAGGGACAGTTATCATCAAGCATAATCTTGAATCTTAGACACATTTCTATTTGCTCGTGGTAAATCGTCTAATAGCCAAAACAGGCCATGACTTGCCCGTTCAGTAGAACAACAAAGAGATCAGGCCGGAATGTGTGTAAGCATTTTAGATTTGACAACTCACTGACGGAGATATTCATGGGTAAAGGTGAAGTAACACAACATCCAGATGTGGTGCACTGCAAATCCGAGTCCTGCACTGGATCAGTTGTGTAACGATTAAAAATCATATTCACTTAAATTCACAGGTTCAGGCACAGGTACAATTAAATACAGGTGGGCAGCGGGTGAGAATTTGAATGTAACATCTAAATCATCTTATATGAGTCAGCTGTACGGATTTGTTCTTACACCTCTGACCCCTTCATGTCCACTCAAAATTACACGATAAACTCCAGAGAAAATCCAGAGCCGCTGACTTGAGGTGTTCCCACATACAACCCCTCCAGTCTTAAGATTCTACCAATTCAGTGCATGTCTGAAAGCAGTTTTTGAGATAATTAAAGGTAACAGGTTGCATTCCATGTGGAGCTTTTCGGGTTTGAATTTACAAAAATGGACCTGTGCAGGACTCTAGCGCACGCTGCATGGGCTAAGATACATTTAAACCAACTACATGTTCATACTCTTTGTATGTAAAAAGCACATTAAAAATTCTGAATTAGGAAATGTTTTATCTCCACGTGCTAATGAGACAGAAACTCTACAAAGTATAATGCAAATGAACAAGCAAATAAAAAGATTCTACCAACATGAAATTAAAGAGTGTAGCAGAGGAAACAGGATTTCAAATTTGTAGCTTCAGCTGGCCTCTTCCACACAACTCCATAGTCCTCCAGCCTTCATCCGTCAAAACATTCTGAAGCACACACATTTCTTCAAATAAAGAAAGCAAATGAATGGCTATCCATGAATTCCACCTACAATCTTTTACAGACTGTCTGTATCAGTTTGGTTTGAAAAGATAGAGAAGACAAGGTCACCCACGAGCACAGCTTTTAAGAGTTGTAAAAAACAAGACTGCACAAAGCTGCGCCCTCCTAAGCGGTGCCCTCTATAGCCTGCTAACTGTACAAGCATGAGTGTATGAAAGGTGCTATTTGCCATATTGTTCAATTGAAGTCTACGTTTGTATCTCACCTATGCCTTTTCATTTCTCTGGAATACAGGCCTTGAGTTGAAGTACACAAATATGCTGAAATTTCTCGTGAAAAGCACTCGAGCGCAAGGATGTACCAGCATGGATGGAGGCTCTACGAGCCATAGTGACGGTGACAGCAACTTTTCAGCACTAACTTTCTGGCCTTCAGAGAACGCAGTCATTGTCAGGTTAGTCAAGTGCTCATTCACCCTTCATAATAGGCCATGTAAGAATAGAATATGAAAGAACTGATAAACCCCAGTGCTGTCAGTGTATGGAAGCCTTGGATTAAATAGAATCAAGCAAATTACTGATCAAAATAAAAAGAATTTCCAGAGTTGTAAAATCCTACCTGATATTATTGTCAACCATTGTGTAGTGATTTGTGCCAGAAAGAAATCAAACAGGCCCTCAATTGTATAATAGAAGAATCATTTCAGTAGATTCACATAAGAATGCACTTCTTATCCTCTCAGGCTACATCCTGAAAACATATATATCATGGGACCACCTCTTGGGCATGGTCCCATGAGAAGGTCCCATGAGAATCTGTTGGACAGATTGGGGGAGACTGGGATTAATTTGCCGACCTTATGGTTAGTGGACGACCCGCTCTGACTCCTGAGCCACAGCCACGAAAGTTGGAGAGAGGAATATCAGATTCCAGTTCTTACACAAGAACCAGACATAAAAGAAACTGACGAGGAGGCAGATTCAAATATCAGGTCTGTGTGATGAGGAAACTGTAATCTTCCTCAATTCAATCAGTTTGAGACAGAGCTGTCCTATTTCTATTCTCTTTTTCATATTGTTGTAATTTGGTGGGCACTTTTTGAATGACATCATCTTGTGTCCTCTTCCAGTTTAATTGAGCCATCAACTGTGTATCTCAAACCCTCCACATTTGGATCAAACGAGTCTGGTAACCATGACACCGCTCTACTAGCTTGATGACTGACCTGGCTTGCAGGGGATTGGTTGCAATGGCAGGGTCATCTGGGGGTCAGAGGTGACCGGGAGGGGCTGGGTGCTGGTGTGGAAAGCCGGGATCATCACGTAGGGCATGTTCACCTGCTGGGACAGGGCAGGACAAACACACCTTACATAAAAGCTCAGGTTTCTGATCAGCTCATGCAGAGGTGTTATCCCCTGCTGCTCGTGCTGTGATGTGTGGCGATGTGTGAGTGTCTTGAGAGGAGCTGACCTGGATCTGCTGCTGGAGCAGGTTGATCTTGTGCTGCTGCTGGATCAGCTGCTGCTGCTGTTTGGCGATCTGAGACACAGGACATGTTCATTTTCACACACGAGGGTATTCAGTTGACACAGTGACACAAGTGCACCCAGTGTGGATGGCCATGGTCCATTGTTTAATCATCATCTCAGCTCGAAACACCACAACACACCACACTACTACATTTGATTATATTATATTTAAGTGAAGCCAGTTTGGATGTTTTCAATGACAGCAACTAATCCAAGAAACTTTTTGGAACCTACTTTTAGTTTTGAGTCTTTGACCAATGGGGAAGTATTAGGAATATGAAAACATATCTGAAAAATTGATTAAATATAGTCATCATATTCTGAGAATATTGCGAGAAAAGAGTGAATCATTTAGGAGAAAAAATATATGACGACTTAAACTAATATTATTACAACTAAATTCTTGTAAATTTACAAGAATAATGTTGTAGTACCATGAGAATAAAGTAAAGGTAAATAGAGTGAGGAGATAGTAAAATGCTAAAACACAAAGAAAAAAGTCTACATCAATGATTCATCGAATACCAGAGAAGAACACTGTGGTCCGAGTAATATAGAGCAAGGTTATGCATACCGGTAATGTGGAGCAGAAAAGATAAATTTAGATGCAAATGTATAAACAGACAAAGCAGTGTTACCCAAACAGGTAATTACGTGCCATTGTTGCTGTCTCTGGTGCATGGGCATGTATGAGTTAAGCTGTGATGTCATTCTTTCCCAAGCGCTCCGTTATACATGTGCACACAGAGTTTCTGAATATCTGCCCTTCAGAAGGTGTTTGTCAAAATCTTAGTGACTTAAAACTCTGTTTGTGAATGAATGAGACTAAACACGGAAGAAAAAAGCTTGTTCTGCAAAATATCCATATAAGTGAAGACAGAGTGTAAACTGATCATATCCTCACTTCTCCTTTCTAACTTTCATTGAAACAAAACAGTCATGAACACCACAGAAAAATAATACATCAATGCAAATATGACACGTCAAACAGAGATCAATTTACAGTTATACACGTCTGATTTGCATCTTCACGCTTCTTCACACAAACAGGCTCAGTTCCTGGGTCTGTTTAGTCAGAAGGTCCAGTTACAGCTGTTATCAAGATAAGGATAGCAGCCAGTGCAGACACAGAAATTTGTTTTAAAGTGACACCATGTTTGCTTGTCTTGATGATGTTCTACGGCAGATGCCTGGATTGTACCTGTTCCTGCTGCTGTCGAGCCAGCTCCATCTGCTGCTGCTGCTTCTCCAGCAGCAGGGCGGCCATGTTCCTCTGCTCAGAGTGCGCCCCCAGCAGCTGCTCCCTCAGACCACTCAGCTGGTTGATCATCATCAACAACTGGAGCTCCTTCTCCGCCAGAGACTCTTGGGTTCCTGTGGGGGGGGGGGTCAGATGTTATGTTAAATGTTATCTTACTATGTTTGTTGTCACAATGTATCCTCATTTTAGAAAGCACACAAGCAAAAACCAATAATTTCCCCCACAAAATATTTCACACAGCCAGGTATCACATTTGAACTAAGGCAAATTATGTTAATAGCAGATTTAAAACATAAAGCAGGTACTTGCACAAATGTGTGTGAAATAATTCTACTCTATATAAATGGTATAAGACGGTGTCTGAAAGCTGACCTTTCAGTTGTCCTGGCCCCACTGTGCTTTTATCCAGAAGCTTCTCCTTCCAGTCAGCATTCAGCAGCTTCTCAATGGTGGGCATTACTGTTAACAGGACACAACAGGCTACATTAGATGCCTGAAAAATATTTTCCTTCGAATAAAATCCATCTTACGCCAAACTTCTCTCTCAGCCTCTCCTCCGCCTCCCTAATGGCATTGATTGAAGAAGGCATTTGAGGTGGCGAAGGGCAGAGTGTGTGTCTGGGAGAAGTTTTGAGTGTTTGAGTGGATCAATATTTGGGCAGAGGAACAATCCAAGGTCAGTGAGTAGGGAGAATTTGAGAAAAATTTAAGGCGAGGAGTGCAGGCTGGTGAAAGACTTGAGGGCAGGCAGAGTCTCAGGAGCATCTTGAAGAGCAGCCTTCTCCTCCGCATGTGGGGGACTGAACAAAATCGTACAAAAACAAAAAGCACCCAGATTCCCTGAAACCCATTCAGGAACCAAACAGCATCCTCGCTTTGCTCGAAAATTGTCACTCTACACATCGATTTCCAGCAGGCTTTATTGTTTAATGCTGAATAGCAGCAGAAGGTAGTGCACTTAAACCCATCAGATGTGGAGTCATCAAAGCCTGGCCGATGAGAAAATTGTATGGACCTGTATATGCAGTGTGTGAACAAGAGAGAGAATGATGAGGTCAGAGGTGCACAGACTGTGGATCTGCACTGATACAAAGGTTTCGAATGGTGAGTACTGAGTTGTATAAAGTGCAGCAAACACTCTCTGGTCTAAAAAACTGCATCAGCTTCAGTTTGAATTGATTTGATGAAATGTGTTCAGATCAATGATAGACACAAATCAAACCTCAGTTAAAAAGAGTCACTATATGCAAATTGGAAAAATGGCAGAATTTGGTGTCCACTACAGAGCCCTCGAAGAGGATTAGTTTTGCGTTCTCTTGCAATACTTTTATGTGACCTCACAATAGTTTCTCTTTTGCATTTTATCAAAGATGCTTAGTGTACAAGGTAATACAAACTCTAATCTACTCTAGGTACAGGTTATTGGGCTCAGGTCGGGTTCGTACACTGTTTTAAAGTCTGCTGACTCATGCTGATTAACACTGTAAAACTGTTGGTCATACGAAACACAGGCTACCTCTACAATCCTAGCTGTTGTAACTTAGCTGGTAACAGCAAGCAAAGTGTCACTGTAACACATTAAGACACCAGTAATTACTTTTGCAGAACAACGTTATTTCATTAAAGCCAAATTAAATAATGTGCAAAATTACTACATGGCTAAAGCTCTATTCAGACATGAACATGAGATTCTCTGCTTAGACACACGCCTGGCCTCTAAGTATTAAGTCTGTAGAAATTCTGGAGAAGTCGATGTGAGAACACATGCCGGATTCCCTGTGGGCGGGGGGGCTGATGACTCTTCTGATGCGTGAAAGGACGCAAAAATGAAAACAAAAGAATGGAATCTCTCCATCTGTAGACGAAGAGGGTGCTGTAAACAAAATCATGTGATCTCCGCAGCGGAGTTAATACGTCACTTCCCCTAGTCTCTGTCTGCTGCACTTGGCTGCTCCGTCTTTTGCCTGAATAATGCGGAGGATTTGTTATTGTTGTTAACGTGTCTGTGCGGAGAACCTCCTGCTGTGTTGTGCATGTGTAAAAGGCAAACTCTGGGTAAACTCCATAACCAATTCTCCGGAATTTACCCCTTGCTAATACTACACTGGGAAGATACTAAAAGTACTATTCTAAATCTTAAAAGTAAATAAAGTAAAATGGCCCCAGTCAGTTGCTTGATATTATATTATATTATATCTATATTATCTATTTATTATACTATATTATACCAGTGCTCATACTATTAAATGTCTTCAGAGAGCATGTCTCCTCTAAACAGCTCTTTCAGGCCTAACTTACACTTAATGTGCACTTTGACTTTACTTCTTTACCTGATCTCCAGCATTTTGTTTTGTTGAACAGATTCAGCTCTTCCAACTAAAATGTTCTGCTGTGCTAAATCTTAATTGTTTCCCTCAGCTGTAATTTAATATGGACACAACTGTAACACATCTGTTAATAATACATATGATTGTTTTGGTTTCACAATTCTGCTGCTGACATTAATGGGTGGTTTAATTTGCAGTAATACATTATATTCTATACCATCATATGTTTGTAGCCTGCCTGTCCAATGAGAATAGGTAATTAACAGGATAACAAAAATCTATTAAAAGCTTTTGTACAGATACCGCTTTTGTGTATTTGGCATGTGGAGTCTTCTTCAATGTGCACAGCCATGATTCATCTTCTAAATACTATCTTCACAAACTGGAGATATTTTTCTTTTTTGACTTGGCAGCTCTGTGAACACTAGTCCTGACGCTGCAGCGCGGACACTGAAGGAGGGAACATGTTCTTTAGACACACCTTCCTTGAAGTTGGATTGCCCTTCTGGTCGATCATGTGTCCTGACCTCCTTCAGTCCCATGGGGCTCTGCCTGTGCGTCAGCTCCTTACCTGGCGAGCCCTCCTGGCAGGACACAGAGAAAAAAGACAGACAAATCATCAGAGCAGATTCAGGAAAAGCACGTTCACTTCTTTGACATATAATAAACTGTGATGCTCCAGCTGATGTCCTTACCGAAGGGGAGCGGGACAGCGGTGGGGTTAGTTGGCGGGCCTCCAGCGGCTGACTTCCTGACCAATTGCGTGAGGGAAATGTTTTAGGAGGTTCCGCGTTGGTAATGACGCCTCCTCCTTCACCGAACTCCTCCTGTTCTACTTTGACACCAACACCTGCCATGCTGACATTCCCGCCGGAGAGGAGGTGCAGCGCAGGAGGGCTGGGATCAACCATTCTATTGTAAGACAAACACAACGCACAACTGTCAGGCACAGCGGTGCTTTGAGCTCAATGCAAAGCAAAATGGTATCTACTGTGGAATGTATGCCATGGTGTCCAACGTGTCGATTGCGATGTTGCTGCTGGGAATATATTGGGTTTCAAAAGTCGTGGACACCAAAATAAATAGTATACTCTTTAGCCTAGAACACTGGACGTAGGGGTGCTGAGGGGCCTGCAGTAACCCCTACTGACGAGGGGCTGCCACTCCAAGGAAGAAAAGTTTAGTGAACAAACTTATAGATCGTATTCCTCTGCCAGTCCCCTTATAAAACCACATTTAAATTCACTTGATTCTTATTTTAATTTGGATCTGCACCAAATTGCACACCAACCTCATAAATATCATAAATAGCTAGTCTTTTTACATAAAGATCCAATAATTATTCCCTGAGAAATCAATGGAAATCTGATCCGAAAATATAGACCATGACATAGATAACTTTGGATGTGAAAGAATGATGGATTTTAGTGGGTTAGATAAGTTTTAAAAGTTAATATTTGTTTTCTTTGCATGACCTGAATGTAAATGTTCTTTAACTGGTATAAAATGTTGTTCTCTCTTCAAATTAATACAAAAATCATGAATGTTGTGCTGCTGTATTTTTAAGTGACTTCTCTCAGCATCCCTTTCACTTAATGATCTTTTCACTCATTACAATCACTTCCACTTTGCTGTTGCTACTATTGCAGTTTCGCTGATGTTTCACATTCACACCCGGTGCACCTGGGGAAAGAGGGATTTCGGCCTCTGAGCCTAAATGACTGAGGCAACAAATATTGATTTTCATTGATGACTGTCATAAAAAGAAGGAAAGATCAGAGGTGATTGGAAGATGTTGTAGTAAAAATGTAACTTATAATTATACTAGATTCATCCAGACAGGAAGGGGGGTTGGAGTCTCTGCTTTCTGAAGTGTGTCTTTCCAATTAGGGGCCACTGTTTTAGGTCAGTGGTCAAAGGTTTGCTGCTGGTTGTGTTACCATCAGCTAAAGTCACAGATGCTAATTGTCTGAGTGTGTGTATGTGCGAGTGAGTGTGTCCGACAGTAGATAATAGGAGGGTATAGAGGAGGGAGGCAGACAACATCTCAGTGAGGGAGAGAGAGAGTGAGAGAGGTTTGAACCACAGTGAACTTGAACAATCAACTTGGGCTTGTATGTGTGTGTGTGTTCGTATGCGTGTGTGTTATTTCCCAGCTCTGCAGCAGGAGGAAAGAAAAACACAGCAGACAGCAGAACAAAACAAACAGAACACACAAGGGCAAAAAGTGCACATATATATAAAGAGGCAGAAAAAAAGCCATTGTTGGAGCCGGGGAACAAAGGAAGCCGGGACAATGGGGGAGAGGCTGACAAAAGCCGCCGGCCGGAGGAAACAGGCCGGATAACAATGCCAGCGGAATGTGCCGACCAACTCGGGAACACGGCAAAAAAAAAAAAAAAGCGGAGCGCCACCATTCTGCGGGAAGCATAATAATGATTAGAGCCCCCCACCACTCCACTTCACCCAGCTCTCCCAGCCTGCACACTGTGATTCTGAACAAAGCCACCTGTCTGCCAGGGTCTAAGGCTCCAAAGTCATATGTGCGTGTGTGCACGTGTAAGTGCATGTTTATGTGCGTTCTACGCTGCACAAAAAAATGCAGCTTTGAAGGGGAAACAGTAAAGACCGGGTCATTTGCTACAAACAGAGATGCAATGAGTTCAGCGTCTCTGTGGTCGCTCGCTGGAGATCTTCTCCACAGAGGAGGCAATGAGATCAAAACTTGGTGCAACACAAACCATGTTTGCTATAGCTACACTCTCCCTTGTGCTTTTAGCTTTAGCTTTAGCTGGCACAATTAGACATCTCCTTGGCAAACTGCCACCACCAACTATTTGTCGGTGAAACAGAGTGACACCGCCAGCTGGAATGTGTATGACATCACTTGCATACTCATGTGGGTACATACCTGCTGATACTGTTAAAATATACACAAAACATTTGCCTATCAACAGCTCCACAGCACCTCTAGAAGTCTAAAACTCTCTGAGGTTCCTTTAAGTTCTACTAAGAAGATGTCCCCTTACTTAACTCTCTCAAACTTAACTATTTAAAGTATTAGTATCTCTATGATAATATGTGTCTTACAAATAAAGGTGAATACATTGTGAGTCATCAGCGGATCGTCCTCTAACCAGGTCTGCAGTTAGATCCCTGTCTTCCCCAAATTGCCCCTGATGGCTGTTCCCGTTCTCATAGATGAATGAATGTGTGTAAATGGAACAAAAAACTGTACTGTAAAGCACTTTGAGACTAGAAAAGTGTTATATGAATGCAGACCATGTTGACATACCTCTGCCATTATCATTACACTGTTGAGTCTCTCAAAACTAACAAGGTCCATTTCACTCCCTAATGGTCAAGTGAGTCATATGACCAATGTGTTAGATACAAGATTGATGATAAAACTAGAATTTGAAATCAGGATAATAACAATTTTCAGGTATTGATTCAGGACCATGATGCTAGACATGGTTTCAACATTTTCTTATTGTCCATTGGGCCGATTGTGTAACGATGACAAGGAATCACAATCTCACATGTGCTGCTGCCTTCCAGTTGCACTGAGTGGGAATAACATGTATAAAAGAAGAACTAGAAGAGCAGATTTAAGGTTGAGGGTTAGCGTTGGAGTTCTTATGATTCAAAACAGCTGAATTGTAGAGTGGGGTGACAAATTGGTAGAATCAAGTAAAATATTTAACACAAGTGGATGTACTAGCTAACTGCTGCAGCTGCTAGTAAATCAACTGTTTCATCTACTGCTCAAAGCAACTTCCACAAACTTGTGTAACAGGATGCGCTCTTTGAGTTATTCAAACTCAGACAACCCCATCTTACTTTATATATAAACCTTTTTACTGTACCATGATATATATCATTATCACTGATTAAATTGAGGCCATTCCTTCTTCTACTTTTATTTTAACAATTATTAAATCAAATAACATTCTTAGTAGACATTAAACTAAATAAAACTCTCCGAAAAACTTTTTTTTTTTAACTTCATTCCATTGTTCAAGAAGACAAAGGATATTTCAAAAGATATTAACATGATATTCAAACAACGTGAATGTGAAAAAATATCTTTTCCTTCTGTGTGACTTTTGCTTAAGACATTTTACTGTAAATGACAGGAAGAAAATATTTTCCTTTAAACTTCTTGATGAGCCAATCTGTACAAATCAGAAAAATTATGTTCAACCAATTGAGCCAGTTACCAAAAAGGAGAGCGACTTTAACAGCTTAATGGAAGTTTGTGTGTGTGTGTGTGTCTGTGTGTGTGTGTGTGTGTGTGTGTGTGTCTGTGTGTGTCTGTGTGTGTTCAGACCATGAATTGTATGAAAACCATTTCACGCACATTAAAATCAGCTGTAAGACCAACAACTCCAACTCATCTGATGCCACCTGCTTGACTACTGTTGACTTTAATATCACACTTACTGTGTCTTAATCTTGTTTCAAAGGTTTAACAGAACAACTTCGTTCTTCAGCTGTAGTGTCTCACCACCCTGACACCCTGTACTTGCCATCTGTGGTAACCACTGGAATAAAATATCAGCTATTGGCAGCTTTAAACCCACAAGGTTATGTATCACCCTAATCTCGTCTGATTGCTATTTTCAGGTTTGGTGTGGTTTTGCAGAACATTAGGAAGGAATGAGAACGGGGGGTCCGAGAGGGAAAGGCGGCAAACTGTTTAGCCAACACGCAGCAACAACCGTCGATATCGACGAGGGGTTGATTGTGGGACAGTGGGGGGTCCAGCCTGTCAGTGGCAGCACACTGAGTTTTGTCCCACGCTGGAAGTTATTCCTGGGTCTCCCCTCTACGTTCCACAGAGGCTGGACTATAGAGCTGCCACAGGTGGCTTTCACACGCCTCCACACACACACACACACATACACGCGTGTGTGTGTAACCCAATGCAGAGGTATGCACAGAATCTCAGCGACCCAGAGAGCTGTTGACAGCAAGGAATGTGTCAAGGTGTGCGGTTTTTTTTTCAAACAATGCCTTTAGCGTCTTAGCCAGAACAATGCAAACCAGTCAAGGTTATCGCTTCCCTCCACATCACACTCATCTAGTTAAACACACACTTAGCCTATCTGCAGCTGACTGCACCCATGTGGAACTCGACCTTGTGTGTGTGTGCATGTGTGTGTGTGTGTGTGTGCGTGTTGCATGACTTGAATAGCCATGCCTTCTTACAAGGTTATCTGATTCAGGCCTGTTTTCCAATCACCTACACCAGCATTTATAGGTGCTCACCACACGCCGCTAAGAAATCAGAATAAACGACCTCAGAGCAGCTGCAGTTCCACAAAGTAAAACAAAGTGACCGAAAACTACTGCTGGAGACTCCTGAAGGTGTTTTTGAATCATTTATAAAACATTGCGTAGCATTCATACTACGTGCGCACAAAAGCCGTAAATGGCGTGCGCAAAGAAAATGTATTTGATGTGACAGCAGTGATGTCACTGATAAATAAAATACCCTGATACACTGCTGCAGCTGCTTTTAATACAGTGAGTGAGAGGGAGGAGGATTGAAAGAACAGAGCCTGAAATAAAAAATAATCTAATTCAAAGGTGGAGGCAAAAATATGATCGCTTCACTCTGTCAGAATGTGAGGGTACTTGTTGGTTCGATTCTGTCAGTCGTGATACTGGACTCAGTTCAGCACAAATATCCAAGATCACAGATCTATAGAATCTATATCAGCTGATCATTCATTTTCATGGGACAAAAAATCTTTGCAATCATTGAACCGTTGTTTCCTCCTAATCCTTCCATTCAGGTGCATCCATCACGTAGCACTACGCACGAGTGTCACCGCAGTATTTATATATTTAGAGCAATCGGACCGATTACTTCACACATCTGGGATATTATTTGAAAATAGAAG